TTTTTTTTTTTTTTTTTTTGCTCTTTATAGACGCGACGACGAGCCGCCTTTGAAACACGTGTGCTTCCGGCGCAAAGCACAGGCAATCTCGGCTTAAAAGCGGAGCCTTATGGTGTCGTCGTGTCATCAGCCGATACTCCTCGGCAGATTATAAAATGCGCGTAGGTAAACGTTCGTAAAGAATAAGTTTACGGTATGGATATTTCATCCATCGTAAAACAGAAGTTTACAGTACGGTATCGCCTTTTCTGCCATTGAGGAAGAGGAAGTTCCGCTGCGGTATCGCAGGGTTTACGTGTACAGGTTCTCCTTAAAAAGAGGATTAAACGCGAAGCGTGGAATATTTGAAATTTCATCTTGGATGTAGTTCGTCTCGTGACACAGCCGGTATACGCACAGCCCTTCGCTCTTGCGCGTCTCGCTGGGCACTCGAGGCTTGAAGCACAGTCACTGGCGTAGGGGGCTTGCCGGCTACCCCAAAAGTGCACCTATCAAGGGTTGGTTTCAACGAGCTCACAGCCCTGGAGACCCTCACTATCGCGGCGACTGCGCACCGCTCTTCGAAAACTAGTTCGCGTTTTGTTATTGGATTCTCGGGCGACGTTTCGAGTTGGCGAACAGCGGAAATCGCGTGTCGAGATCGAACGGAAAATGTATGCTCGTTTGTATGTCGCACGGTAACGTACTAACACGCGTTAATGTTAACGCGTAGTTTACCGGTTGACTCGTTGCAATTTGCATGCGTTTCCATTTCACGCACTATTTGCCTGCGGGGCGATGCCTGGTCACGCCTCGAATATCGTCGCATTTATCTAAGAATATTACTCGTCGTTAATAAACATAGTCGAAACTATCGGTGAATTAGTAACGCCTGGTACCCATAGCGTCCCGTGTTTGATGTCTCTGGGTTTATCGTCAGTGCGGCGCGATCTTCACGGTAGCGAAGGGTGTCTAGGTCTTCGTTCGCCCTTGAAGTTACACAGAAAATACGCCAATATCGTTCGAATGAGGGGTTCTGGGGCGGATAAGGAAGCTAGGCAACGATGGCGCGATTGCCAGCGAACGCTGCGGAGAAACGTTTACCAGCGATCGTGTCTACGCCTCCGTTAAACGGTTTCTCGCGTGGAAGAAAAATTTGATTCGCAGGCCATGGTGAAACGCGTTCTCTTCCGTCGTGGACACACACGCATGATGTCAAGCGACTGGCTGATTACATGGCAACGGACCATATATTTGCATTAAGCCGCGACTCACCATAACTCATTACGTCCACAATTCTCTTTCGTCAGTCGGCAACATGTTGGCCGCATAAATCACAATTTGCCCTCCACCGCTCACAGGTGGACACGACTAGCCGAGCTCGAATCTTGAAAACGCCATGCGATCGCAGTGTGCACTGTGCAAAACCGAAACGATACCCGGTGTCGTGTTTAATTGACTCTGACGTTATATCCATGTGCTTGGTAATTACGGAATCGTAATGACGATCTCTTTATCGCACCGATACATTTGGAAATTTAGCACCATGAATGAAAATGCGCGAAAGCGATCGATGATTTTTCTTATCGACGACTAGAATCTGTTTCATGGCGTTTCGAGGCGGTCGATTAGTATTGGCCGTGCGGTGTTTTTCGCGAGTGCGAGTCCAATTTCGGGTAGAGGTCGAGGCTCCGCGGCGCGCTGCGACGATGAGACGTCTCTCGACGCCGTGTTGACGCGGCGCGTTGACACAGCGGCGGCCGTGTTTGTAGAACAATGTCCCCGCGGTATTACTAGAAATAAAAAAACGGGATAGACGTGTCACCAGACGAGTAACGCCTCTCATATTTCCATTAAGTAAGGCAAGACACAGCCGGATAACGGATATAACGGACGCGAGCTATGGCTTTTACCGTGATTAGTGCATCATGCAATGGGAAGGTTCGTAAGGTATAGAGGTGCGTGTAAACGTTCTTGCATATTGCACGCATATAGTATAAATGCGTTTGCGATATTACGCGCGCGCGCTCACGCACGCTCCTCGGCTATTGCCATGGATTTCGAAGTCTAGTTCGTTCGTATTGGGTTCTTCCCCGGGGAGAGAGACTATCGCACCGCCCGGAAATTTTCTCCTTCTTCTGTCGTCTGCCAGTCCGTTCTTCGCGCAAAACACGCACTTACACATTGGTTGGATAAATGAAATCCTTCGACATTGAATCCATTAAGCCGGTTCGGTATCGTCCACGAGGAGCATCCTTAATAACGTTCGTTCGTGTTTTCCTGAATGCGAATGGTTGGGGTACGCGCGTTCTTCACGCTATATTTTCACGCGTAAAACCCTTATCGCCTGCTGCGTAAGTACTATTATGCGTTTGCAAAATAAAAAATAAAAGGAAGAAAAAAAAAAAAGGAAAGAAATGGAAAAGAAACGATGGGAGACGGGTGGGGGGAAGGAGAGAAAAGGGAGAAGGAAACGCAACTTCTGAATTTCAGTCAAGGATCGTCGAGACGATGTTTCGGTGAAACTTTCTATACGTGTGCGCTCTCTGTCGCGACACGGTCGTGCTCGCATTATACGGTCTGTCGCGACGAGAAATAGCGGAGACACGAAGGTGGCGGGTCTTCTACATTTACTTCTGTTCCGTAGAATCATTACTACGTCCCGAGCTAAGCCAAGCGTATGGGCGCCTGTTGACGGCAGCCGTTGATGCGTTAAAGGGACGAGGAGATAAGTTTTTTTCGCGAATTATGAAGGCGCTCATTCATTACGTGTTCCGTAATTGACGAGTTGCACGAAAGAGGATGGAGCTAGTATCAACAACGCTCTCTTCCCGTCAAGATCCTATCTGCCGGTAGTAACGTTATTTCTTCTCCTTTTCCCCTCGCTTCTTTTCTTTTTTTAACATCTCCATTAGCGACCAATGAGTCTCGCTTACGATCATCGATGAAAAATTCCACGAAATACCGGAATATGTTTCGCTGCAGTATCGGTAATTGAACAGGGAGGGTGAAAGAGTATTGCCGCGGCGAACGTTGCTGTAGTCAGATTCGATTTCGTAATTCATTAGCATAGAATTTCCGATGAGCTATGCTTTGTTCGTTCGACATTATAATAATTTAACCGAAAGCTATCGGAGGCGGGGGTTGCGATTGCCGTGGTCCATGCAATTGGCTTCCACCTGATGCGAAATAGATGCAGCTCCGAGTGGATCGAGTCCATTCGTATCATACCAAATGTGGCATAGGCGGTAATTGGATTTCTCTCTCTCTCTCTCTCTCTCTCTGTAGATTTGTTTGTGCGTGGTCAGCGACTAAAAAAGTCGGCACGCGTACGATTTTGAAAATAGAAAGAGATTTAACTCGCGAATCGAGCAAGAAAGCAAGAAGATCTTTGAAAGAGAAAAGAAACTCGTGGCAGTTTTAATATATTTGGAACGTTCACAAAGCTCGCGCTTTTCTACTCATCGTCTTGATATTTCATCTCTATCTATCTACTTCGTCTTTGCTTTATGCTTTGCTCGTAAAACCTCGCCAAGCGTTTTCTTGTCGGTCTTCGTTTCTTGAATTGATTACGCTTACCCCGCTACGGCGTTATCCCTTTACCTAACGGGTCGCTAATTAAAGGCAGGGTAAAAGTCGATCGATCTTCTCACAACGATCTTGAAACAGTATATCCGTTTCCCCGATTCCTGGTACAGGCAACGGGTTCGGTGGTTTCTCCGTCGTCGATAGGGGGCTTCTTAGTCGAGCGAACACTTACTCGCTTACAGAACACCCTCTCTCGTTTTCCTTCTTCTTTTTCTTCTTTTAATCTCTCCTGCTTGTCTCGTATCCGGTTTCACCTCCGTTCCCCGTTAGCTTTGCCGTTAAACAAGAGCTGACAAAAACACGTGTAACTTTCAATTGGTCGAGCAGTCACTTCGGAGATTCTCAACGGGGTTCCTTAATTGGGTTAAATAAATTCGGCTGGCTGGCATATGTGTACAGAGCAGGATGGAGGTGGCGTTCGTGCGCATCCGTGCGACACGTATCGAAACTATAGTCGAACATGGTAAGACGAACCCTTCGTAATGTTCGTGTTGTTGCAAAGGGTTGAAATTGAGCGGGAGATGACCCACGTTGAGGAATTCGATAAACGAACTCCAGGGAAATTTATTTGCCTAAGCCGGACTTAGCCTTGTACGATCCGTGCACGTTCGCGAATGACGAAGGAAGGAGAAACGATCCGGCGCGGTGCCCGATTCCACGGACATGCCCGGCTTTTTATAAATATTTAAAGGCAGCTGGGTAGTTTGCGAATCCGCGACGATATTCCGAAGCCTGTTAATGCAGCGAGGTCTGTATTAAAGCCTCGTCAATATCGGTACCGGCAACAGGCCGTTACAGTATCCGGATGAAAAAGAGGTAACGACCGAGGGGTGTGAGGAGAATTGGAGGCGAGCGACCATCGTTTGTCTGGCTGGCGGAGTTTCCGCTCGGAACTATAAGGACTCCGCGCTTTAATGGAATAAAGAACCGGAGGAAAGTACTGAATTTTCTAGCTGTGGGATCTTGCTTGTAAACGATATTATTACGAGGTCGTGTTGAAAATACTGCGACGTTTTCGCGTCGGCGAGGATGTTCCATTTAGTCGGACGATTCAGAAAATGAGGGACGATTTGCCGCTTCGACGAACGTCGTCCTGTTCATTCCATCCACAACCGTGGTACACTATGATTGCGTGCGTGAAAAGCGACACGTACGAAGGGAGATGCACGCATACAACTAACATCGCGGAACGTTGGAACGCGGCAAAGTTTAATACGTGCGCACGTATATTTTATATGAAACGAAATCGATGGATTTGATTTCACCAAGTAGAATGTTCGATGGCCCTGTACCGCGATAAAAGACGATTTTCAACGGGACGGTCGAGCCGGGATTTTTCATATGTTTCCTTGTTGCTAGGTGGCGACACCTTTTTCCGCTATGAAGAATGTAACCAATTTCCGGCACATACATCAGCCACAATTTTAATCACCGACTCGGAACCTTTCATCGTCCCTGGCGATGTCCACGGAGAACAGGAAGATCTACAAGAAGATAAAAAAGACCACCGAGAAGGACAAACGTATGGCACAGCTGGAGAAAGAGATCGCTCGATTGGAGAACGAGAACAGCAAATTAAAACGCGACAGTGCTGAGTATGAGAGTGGCCTCGCTGCTTTTAGCGGCACGTCGCGTTTTGCCACTGAATTTTCTTCGTTCAGCCGTAACGTGCCATCTGACACGAACAAACGGTCGCTTTCACAGAAGCCAGAGGACAATCTTGCAAATGCGTTGCAATCGAAGGGCAACCCGGAGAATGGCAATCGTAAAAAGAAACTGCGTATGAGATTGATGAAAAGTAGAAAAAATGACAATAAAAAATGAAAGAAGAAATATCTGTTCTCCGTGGACTCGCATTTTATATACGAAATTCTACGAATAAAATATCCATTCGACATTGACATATTCGAGAGCGCCATATCGAATTCTCGACAGGAGGCACGTTCACGCGATGACCATTTGGGCTTCGGGTCGTCAAATTTCCGAATCATGTATCGAATTTAATCAGGAAAATTGTCGATATCGAAGCGACGGAAGGCGATGCCAACGCATTTGAAAGTAATACCATGCCCGCAGAAGCAAGTGATTAGAAAATATATTCGGGATGTACCCTGTACTCGGATAAAACCGAAGAAACAGAAGGAAGTGTCGTGTTCAGGTAGTGAACGCAAGAGATCCTGCAAGCAGGTCGAAGATGTGTGTTCTACGTCGAAACGCACCCAACCGGTAACGTGTCCGTCTAAACAACCGGTCAAGAAATGCGTTCAAGCGAGTCCAAAAGCGTGTCCGGGAAGAGAGCGTACAAGCCCGCCGAGATCTTGTCCAAAATGCGAGAGCAATCGAATTCAAAAGTTGGAAAGCGAAGTGGGATATAATTTTCGCGCGAATCGACCGCTTGACTGACTTCTTACGAATAATTCGTTGTCAGTGAATAACGAACTGATTCGTTTATCCGTGTAGAATATCGTTCGCTATGAATCCACTCTCTGCTGCTTAAGGGTTTCGTTCGCAAAGATATTCGAATAATCAGTCAATCGGTTCGATACGGCAACCTTTGCACGACAATAAAATATCCTATTCGTAGGTGTACCAATTGCGGAAGGAGATCGAGTGCATGAAATACGAGCGAAAAGAAGCGGAGAAGGCGATCCAAAAGGCTATTCTTCGTGGAGCCCGCGCTCTCGGCGGAAGATTTAAACCCACGGTACCGGGATCGATCGAGAAACTTCTCGATATTTGCAACAGCAACGCGTCCTCCCAATCCACGTCCTCGGTCAGTCTCTGTACGACGAAAACTGTATCGCCGATGGTTCACACGTGTCATAACAAAACGTGGAGAAAAGAGGAGTTCGATTATTGCGAAGGTTGCACTCCATTAGTCGGCTCTCGCGATTAAATCCAGCTTCGTTGAAAAAACATCGAATGTACTCGTTGGAAAGTTGTCGGCGTCGCCTGCAATAAACTTACCCGAAATACACTGGATATTGGATAATGATTGTAATTAATTACTTTCGCGATCGGGAATGAATGAAAATAACCAACGAATAAAACCCAGACGGGTTTTATCGCATGGTAATAATTTCCTACGAAACGCGTTAATTAATAAACGGGTAAGAGCGTGCGGGGTGGACCCGACGCCGATTTAATTACACGTAACCGTACGTGCCAACATACGCACTAACGGTGCTTTAGTCGCGTAGACTCGCCGTACACGTACCCTATCATCAGAATGGCATCGTTAACACCGATAATCTTCCCTGAACCGAGTACGGAGCCACTCGACTTACAGGGAGACCTCGCGTGCGAGTACACCGGAAATCTTGGTGCGTACCACGTTCCACAAAGTGCGAAAAATAATTAACGAAATATCAAAGAAATATTTTGTTCTGTGTGAGAACCCGACACGGTACGATTCATCGAGATCATTAAGGTTCGACGAATCGACCGTTTCGTTTAGCTGCGATTCCCAAGGTTCCGCGAACAGCCAGGATGTCACGGCCGCGTCAAACGTAACGGGACACTTTACCGGATAATTATCTTCCGTTAATGATACAACGTGAAACAACAATGAAACGTTATATCGCGTTGGTGAATCAGAGTAACCGTTTGTTGTTTATCTGCATCGATGCAGCGCCATGGTATTTTGTTGGCTATTGATCGCCGATGATGAGTCTTGATATTCAATCCGTAAATGCGATGATGGTTTGCCGGATCATCGTTGGCGCTCGATTACGAGTCTCTTTCCAATGGTCATGCTCGAAAAAGCGGCGATAAACGGACCGGTACTGTTATAAAATTTCGCTGGAATATTCGATTCCGCGTTGTCCATTGTTTCGACCTCTCGATGGTTTGCGAGGACAAAGTTGTGCTAATCTGTTACGCGTAAAATTTCCAATCGACGTTTTTCAATACGGAAACAAAAGCGGAAAAACACTAGGAAAAACACAAAGAAAAAAGGAATAAATATAAAAAAAATAAAGGGTTCGGGATGTTTCGGTAATTCGAGGGGAATGAAAACATTCATTTCGGCTTGCGGCGGTGTATAAACTATAAAATTGCTTCTCTATTTGAGCAAACAATCGGGGTGCGGTCGATAAGATCCGTTTTGTGTTAGTTGACCAAAACGGGGTCGTAAAACCTGTCGCGGTGTGGTCGTGGAGGGCCGTATTGTAAATTGATAGCGATAAAATCTACTCATCTCTGGGTTTATTCGGCTCGAGTCGAGCGTACCGCGGCTGTCTGTGGCATTATGCAGCGCGTACCAGCGAAATGGCAAGATTATTTTAAGGCGTATCTCGGTCTTATACGATTTCACGTGCCTCCTTCCAGATCTTCTGCTTCTCGTCTCCGGGTTTTCACGTTTAACCAGGGTATAAGTTAGCCTCGGTGGAAGTAGGCACCGCGACCAGCTCGCGAGTAAGCAAGCAACCAACCAAGAAAGAAAAGAACCTGTGTCTGCTGATGGTTCCTTTGCGATATCGTTCTTGGCAAATATTAGGTAGTTCCGTCTACTAGAAAACGGTCCAATGTTTTCATTTAATATCCTGTGAATGTCGAGCGGACTCGCAACCGGCATTCACGGAAAAGATTGCGAGAGCCATTTCCCGTGACTAGTGAGCGATGTCGTCTTTGAGATAAAGTACCCTGAGAAAGATTTGTATGAGCCGCAGACAAGACGCGTCTTACGAGTTAAAGGGGTTGTTATAGTAGTCTTTGCGATATAGCAAGATTGTAAAATCGGTCAAGCGTTTTAACTTTGCCGGAAGTCGTGCACGATCTGACGGATACACGCGAGATCTTCTTATACATATTTTTAACAGATGTATCGTAAAATCTTGTACATTTCTGTGAACCTGACGAATATCTACTAATATCCTCGACTAGTTGCAGCTTAATTCCGAAAAACATGAAATTTTCATCGAGAAAGCTAGGAAACGCATGATTCACGAATTAACGTATCATTCCTTATGTCATGCCTTGATTTAGCATCTCGCTGTCGTATCACTATTGCTCTTCAACCGGAACGCACAAAGAGCGCAAACAAGTTACTACCTTCTTATCGTTTCCTGTCCTCTTTCATTATTATTATCGTCATTTAGAAGAAACGACGTTGAACGAACGAATTGTGAGTACGCCGTAAAGCGGCATGCGTCGACGCGATAAATTAACAACGATCGCCAGGTTGATATTCGAAGTTTATCGCGACGTACTTATCTATGAGAGCAACGTGCTCGAAAGCGCGATGAATAGCAGCAACAGAAATTGGACGGCACGGCGTTGGAAAGCGCACTAATTCAGATCAAATGCCATGAATTCCAGCTACGCATCAAAGGCAGTCACGTCGAGGCCGTTCACGTATTACCGCGTGTCGTGATAAACGCGCGATAACCACGATTAAAGACGGCGAAACACGCGTAGCTTTGTATCAAAATCAATGAACGATCGACCGACCGGGAATCGGTTTCTCGTTAAATGATCAAATAGATTCGAGGAGACTGGAAATCCTGAGCCGAGGCGATTGAAACGTGAGCTCGTTGAAATACGTACTCTGGGAATAATAATAATGTCTAAGGGAAATCACGCGGCGGGATGAGACCAGGCTTGTAATAATTCCTGTTTTCTCTTTTGCGATAAAGTTTTACAATCACCGACCGTTCACTTCAAAGCGGAGCCCCAACGAAGAGGGTGTATAAGGGTGAGAGACTCTGATCACCGATGCTACGAGGAGGGAGCAAAGAGTGAGGAGAAATCCGTTAATAGTTCGTTATTAAAATAAAAGAGGCAGACGAGTGGGTAGACCGATTGCGGCTAAAATGTATATCCAATCTGATAGGTAAACCGATGTAAACCAATGAAATATGAAACAGGAATAATAAGCTCGCCCTGCCGCTTCCCTTTTATCTTCTATTTCCATATCTCGGTCAAAACTTTCAATGCTTTACGAGCTTCTTAACGAGAAAAATAAGAGCTTATTTATCGGACGGCATTCATAAATCACAACGAATTTATTGCTTACAACATGCTTGAAAATTTACATTGCGAATAAAGTAGCGCGATGAGTCGATTTATTCCGACCGCGCGACCATTCCAAATAAAATGCGCGTGTTAGAGTCGTTCAAGCCGAGACGACAAATTCGTGCTTACGAGAGTGTAATGATTTGGACACTCCCGTTGGACGGATGCCAGGATTTCCAGTCGTGTTTGGACATCGCGGCCCGATCGCGGTAACGTTTTAGCTGTTCGCTAGACACCGTGAGCGAGTTAATTAAACGGCTGCTCGTTTTCTTTCTTCTTTTTCTCTCGATCACGCTTGAACTTTCATTCTCCGTAACTTTTCTCCTTGTCTCATGCCTTTCACGCGATCCACGCAACTGACACTGACCGTCTGACAAAAGAATCAGAGAGGAAACATTGATCACCATGAACACGAAACTTTCGAAATGTTTTCGTTGCGAACGAATTAAAATATCACGGATACTCGATTAACTATTCAACTAGCCAGGGGAAAAGATTTAATTTTGAATGAATCTGCCAAAAGGAAAAGCGCACGATGGCAGCGGTCAAGTAGGCACGTTCTGTTTTTACGGTGGTAGCGAAACAGCTATGTCACACGGTGAAATATTGTTCGAACGTAGGAATTCGTGTCGTGTACACGTGGAGAATTTTTAAATTTAAGCGATAATCATTCCTTTTGGTATGGAGAGGTATTCCACCTGTCGCGAACTTCATTGTCATCCCGGTCGTATTTTCCTCACGCGAGTAATAGGAATTGTCGGTCGCGAGCACGCGGCCAGCGGTAGATTATCGTCGGCGGCACGGCGCAGCAATTCTTGCGGCTTGACACGATGTAATATTTCAACGCCGCCTTGACAATATTTTTCACTGTTCCGAGCACCGAGGTGGGTATATCACGAGAGTAGGAAATATCAGTGGATGACTGTAGCTTCATACGCGGTTCTGACATGATTGCTAGAAGATCGTGATAGCGTTCAACTTCTTTTTGTCCAGAGAAGTTTCAACGTTCACCTTTGCTTCGTTGTTGAAAAAATGTTAGTCGCGACCGTTATCATAGACACGTTGCTCGACAGTTTCAACGTTGTTAGATATTCGAAATCGCGAATTCATTTATCACGATTGCGAAGAAACGACGTCATCATGCTGAACGCTGCTTTGGAAAAATGCTGCCAGCTACGAACGAATGATAGAAACGTGGATTTAGATATTACCGATATACTTACGCAAGGGTGTTAGATGCACGATCGTGAAATACGCGAATATCGCAGACGCAAGTACGAATCGAGAACGGTGTAAGGAACTCGGTGCCTTCCGAGTTGTAGTCGTAACGGGTGTTCTCGATTGTGCGAGGCGCAGCGGGTTCTTTCTTTCAGCTTTCTCGAAAAAAAAAAAAAAAAAAAAACGAC